CCCCACCTTACAGATTTCTAAATCTAGACCAGAATCCAAGAATGAAAATCCGTTGCATGACTCATTATTATCCAATAAAAGTTCGTTGCGTGCGCTTTTAGTTTTGAATCCAGTCTTAGTCATTTCTGTTGAGATTCCGGATTCCATTAAACAAGTAGAAGAGGGCCTAAAGAACTGTCCGTTGGGACTCTGTTTTTAATGATTCCCCGTTAAACTAAAAAGTCTAAACTAGACCATTTAGAATTTTAGACCATCTAGACTACTATTGGGAATGACCCATTGTCCTAGCTACCGTCGTACCGTACCAAACCAAKTACAGTATGGTAGGGCAGTACTCGAACTTGTTATTGTCCTACCGTCGTACGTACCATACCACACCAACGGCAGTACTAAAGGTAATAGYACTAATACTGGTAGTTTTTGTTGGGATCGGTAGAGAACTACGAATTACCAGTACTTGTACTATGCAGTCACAGTACTAGTATGCATCTCAAACCTTTCATTATTCATACTACTAGTGCACCAACATTTCAATGATACTAGTACGACTAGTACTACTAGYACTACTACTTCCCCAACAACAAGAACAAGAATAAAAACAAGAAAAAATTCTAGATATTCTTAGTACCTACTAGTAGCTATATTGCTTCTTCTTCCTGCTCTATTTCTGTGTCACATGCTTCCCAAATAAATGTTGTTGTTCGTCCCTGCATGGTACCCTACTTTTCTTCTGTTGTTCTTCTTCTTGTTCTCAGAGTGGTAGAGACACCAGGTCCTCAAGTTAATTAACACTCATGCATGAATACTTTCATTTAACCCCCAATTAATATGACTGGTGTGTAGAACACTTATAATCAGTACTGCAAACTGGAAATGTGCATGTGCGTGATTGTTAACAATTATTTTATTTTTCACTCATGATGAAAATAGACCATRACTCCTCTGCTACCACCACCACCAGTAGTAGTAACATGGCAAACTGGTTTGCAATWACAATGATACTGTACACCTCTTTCAAACAAGAAATGGCGACCATACAAGAAGGTTCTCCTTMTTACGAGCAATGTTCATGATGATATTACTAAGTGAGAGCCTCATAAAATACTTAATCTACTAGGCTTTCTAGTAATGCTGCCAGCAGGCTGGTGGTTGTTTGTAGATGGTATGCAGTACTAGTAGAACCCTTTCAACCTGTAAAATGAAATCTTTACTTGAATTTTCTCTGTTTGATGGCTTATTCYAATATTACTGTTAGTACAACATTAAAAGGGACAACACCACATTCAATTAGAACAAAAGGGAATCATTCAAATTGATCRAAAATTGAGCTTATTTTACGCAAAGAGGTACAAAGCAACATTTTTGGGGGAATGGAGGAGGAAGTATTACTTTAAACTCCTTTTGAACTACTAGATGAGGCACTAGTATATGACCAGAACCACAACCATAACTTCTCTGGGGAGAAGAATGCTCCTAGTATTTTTGGGGGAATGGAGGAGGAAGTATTACTTTAAACTCCTTTTGAACTACTAGATGAGGCACTAGTATATGACCAGAACCACAACCATAACTTCTCTGGGGAGAAGAATGCTCCTAGTA